CTAAAGTAGCTTTAAAAAAGGTTTATAAATTGAAAAATGTTTGCAAACGGCAATTTAAAAAGCTTTTAAAAATTTTTGTTTTTTATGAATAAGGCGATAAAAATATATGATTTAAAATAACTTTTAACAAGGAAAATATGCAAAAACGTGATTTTTGCGGAAGTAGGTATTAGTGAATTGCAGTGCATTTAAAGTTTCTGAGGTTTCGTTTACTTTTAGATCAGAATTGTCAAAATGAGAAATTCAAAGTAGCAGTACAATAATCATAGAAAAGAAGATTGCGCCCTGAATGTTCTGGCATCTTTTTTGGTTTCGGTTTGACAGCCAGCTGCTGTGATGATGTGGAAATTTACCACAATGAAGAAAAATATAACAATTAAGTGAAAAAAATTTGATAGTGAAAAATTTTTAGTGTTTCAAGAACGATATTTCGGACAAATCGTTAATGAACAACTATTTTTCCTTCCCGTCTGCTTTGGTTTTGGCAAAAAAGTTGATTAGTTCCTGCCGGCGATCAAGTCATTTCAACCACAAAATACTATTATTTGCAAGAACCATTCACTAAAATTGTAACTAACTTTTTATTATTTATTAATTCCTTTTTGATATTCAGCAATAGCAAGATGAAAAAAATTATAAACCAAAATTAGTAATATTTTTATGAATGTAGTGATAAAAGTTCACAGAGGAAACGCCGGAAAACAATGTATTGGCAACGACATAAAATGTATGGCAATTTCGATGTCAACAGAATAATAACTACCATGATAAAAAAATAGGAAGGTAGAACCGCTGAGAAAAATTTTTCAAATTCTTGACGTTTGCAAGCAATTTAATTTTAAAATTTTACACACAAACTCACACACACATTCTCGTTTTCAATCTCAAACAACAACAACTTTGAACAATTCCTTTTTTTACTCTCAATTTTATACGATTTTAAAATGTTGGCAAACTTCAAAAAAAAAATCATGGCCGACGCATTGAGAGAACGGTTTTACCCTACTGTGCTTTTATCATGATAGCTACGATAAAAAAGCATGAGAGAAGTGTGCGAAGGAGGAAATCCTTTCAATTTGAACAAAAAAAGCTTTAAATGCTTTTATAAAATATTTTGATTTTTACTATGATAAATGCATTACAAGGTAAAATCATTGAGAGACAGTCTGACGTTTGCCAGCAATATAATTTTAAAATTCGAACTCAAGCTCACACACACATTCTGATTTTTAATCTCAAACAACAACAATTGTGAACAATTTCATTTTTTTTTTCAATTTTGTATGATTTTCAAATGTTTACAAACGTCAGAAAAAAATCATGGCCGACGAATTTAGAGAATGGTTTTACTTTCTAATGTTTTTATCATGATTTTTACTGGGTGTAATTGAAACTCCGTCAAATGAGTATTAAGGAAAATAAAAATTTGAGAATAATAAATAGAAAAATAGATGGGTGCACAAAGAGTTAAGTTAAATGTTATACCAAAATTCTTAAAAAGTAAACAAATCCAATTTTTTTTTAATGTTACTGTATAGAGAGAGCTCTTTAAATCTATTTTATTTTTTATGAATAAGGCCATAAGCATATACCGTTTATATAAATAAATCTTATAGCAAGATGCTATATATTTATTTATACAATTTTTGGCTGGCGAAATATGTAGTTTTTTCAACTTTTTAAAAAAGCGTATTTAACCACATTAAAATTTTTTTAATATTGAATGGCGCAACACAACAACTCTTTTTGTTGCACGAAACCCTTGAACACGTGCCTGTCATCTATTACTTCTGTTTCGACATTTCGCTATTTTACATTTCTTTCATTTTGACGTCATTCGCATTGTCAGATTTTTTAACTTCCTTCTGGTTCGACATTCTGCTATTTCATAATTCTTTCATTCTCATGTCATCCATCTTCCATTTCTTACCTTCCATTGCCGTTCGCATCGTCGAACGTGCCTGTCAAACACTGCCGCCATCATGCTTTTCAGTTTGGCAGGCACGTCCGCTGTTAGAAAGAGAATAGACAAAAAGGGGCATAGGATTCCATACTTGTAAGTATATACGATGGCCGAAACGCGTCGTTTGGTACCCCTCCCGACTTTTCCGGACCTTTTTTAGGTGTTGTTACACTACACTAGAGAAATACCAAAATCAATACTTCGATAAATAATGAAAAATTTTTTTCCATCTTTTGACACACCAGTTTAGGTAAATTTTCCGTTGGCCCGTTAAACTGTACCAATACCCTACACGACACCATCCAAATTTATACACAAATTAATTCCAGTATTAGTGCTAAGCCACGTATTCGATTATTTACCGCTCTACTTTCCTCGACTTCGAAAGAAAACCTTTTTTCAAATGCCGAATTTATACATGTACAGGATTAAATATGTATGCTATTGCCGCCACACAAATCTCACTCACAAAACAAAACTAGAGTGGGCAATTGCTACTGTTTTGAATAAATTAATCGATAACGATTATTGGACCTGCACTCATGATACAAAAAAAGAAGCATGATTCAATATCGAAAGGTTTTGTAAGAAAAACTTTCTCTCGCTCTAATTTTATCAATGACACTCCCACCCTACTCCTTAAAACAAAAACAGTGATATTTCTTTTCCAAATTTCATTGCAAGTTTTAAGAACATTTTTAACATGTTAGTAGTGAAATTTTTACTTTTTAAATTTGAAGAAATTCTTGTTCTTCATCGCTAGCGCCAACAAGACAAAATGGGTGAGAATCTTTGGACTGGAGAAATTCATTGTAGGCTAAAGATACGAAATCGCCAATTGCGGCTGTGTCTCCCCAGAACATTAAGGGCCGGTTGCTCAAAGCCTGGTTGACACTAATCCCTGGTTAAACATAGTTATCGACGTTACCGACACCGTGTTATATGCATGGAGTCGAAAACGTCGATAACGATGTTAACCGATGATTAGTGTCAACCAGCCTTTGAGCAACCGGCCCTAAGGGCCGGTTACTCAATGCCTGGTTAACACTAGTCTGCGGTTAAACATCGTTATCGACTTCTACGACTCCATGCATATAGCACGGTTTCGATAACGTCGATAACGATGTTTAACCGGTAGACATTGGGTAAGCGGCCCTAAAACTATGTTCACATATCAATATTATCTTAATCAAAGCTCGTTTTTTAATCACCCCGTTTACACAGGCAAATCTCAGATTATTAGCCGTCAAATTTGTTGTGCTTGTTATTCTCACATTTCAAGGAAAAGTTATGTTTCTTCTCTGTGCCCCCGTGATCACGTTTTTCTGCTATAATAAGCAATATAAATATATTTTAACTTAACATTTTATTAAAAATACCTTTACAAACCTCTTTTACTTGCTAGCGTACATTTTTGTTTACTTTTACATTTGGCATTTCTCCTCTCTTTCGCAAAAACAATCGATAAAACTAGGATGGACACCAAAAAGTTATCGGTTAAATCTGAGATTATTTTATAATTACAGATTAACAAGGGACGAATTTTATATGGCTAATCTCTTGTTATAATTACAGATTATGGTGTTAAGCTCGAAAATTAGGATAATCTACTTATATGTGAACCTAGTATAAGGGCCGGTTGTTCAATATCTGATTAGCACAATCGGAGCACAAATCAACCAAAACCCAACGAAATTGTGCAAAGATTTTTGTTTCATAAGCGTAGTCAAAAGAACGGCGAAACAATAGCAGATTTTGTTAAAGATCTACGAAAATTATCCGAGCATTGTGATTTTAAAGAACTCGAGAACATGCTACGTGACCAAATCGTATGTGGAGTCGTAGTTGAAGCATTACAAAAACGGCTTTTCAGTGAGCCAAAATTGGATTTCAAGCGCGCTTATGAAATCGCATGTGCACACGAAGCGGCCTTCCGAAATGTAAGAGATGTTCGGGGCAATAACAACGAAGTACTGGCCATGTCGTCTAAAAACCAACATAAAAAGATGGAGAACGTGAGCTGTTTTCGATGCGGTGGCAACCATGTGGCCAATCAATGTTTTTTC